TTCTAGTGTGGTATAATTTCAAAATCGTCCTAATCCTGCATTACATTCTAGTGTGGTATAATTTCAAAATCGCCTTAAAGGGGAACCACTTAATCCCATGGATTCCACCAAAGAATCATGGGACACTATTGTTTTTGTAGTTTACAATGTTAATCTATCTTTTGTTATCCATTGTTATTTTAATCCAGAAAGTAAATTTGTTGTGAGATTAGGCTTAACTGGAGGGTGCCCCTTTAAGCTTGCATTACATTCTAGTGTGGTAAATTTCAAAATAGTCTTAAACTTGCATTACGTTCTAGTGCGATAATTGTGTATGGTAAAGAATATATTCAAAAATTCAATATGAAAATATATTGACTTTTTCCTGTCACAGTATCATATAATTGTATAATAGAATTGTTTATTACATGTAAACAATAAGTACAGAAATATATTAATAACAGTTGTCATGGTTACTGATGTTTTTGTTTCAGCCGTGGAATATGAATGGTATTGAGGTATACTCATGTCACATTAAATTCTGTTGATATGCATTAGATGGCATGTATGGATGGTTGGTGATGTGTACAGAGCATTGAAAACATGCATGCCAGTTGGGTATAGTGTTTAGGGTGCCTGGAATGAAGATGAGGCTGAAGAGACATGCTCCAAATCATGTTCATTCTGCTAAAATACAAGCGTGATTGGTGTTTTGGGGAATAGAATATGCAGAATTTTGTAATAGTGTAGGTTAACACTGTAGTGTGACTGTAGTTTTTACATGCTAGATAGATTGCAGCTATGATTACTATATTATGATTTTTAAATTTATATATAGCATAATATGTTTCATTGACAGGGTAAATCTGAGTTGGGTGATGTTTGTTTCTCTTTACGTTACGTACCGACTGCTGGTAAACTGACGATAGTTGTACTGGAAGCAAAGAACTTGAAGAAGATGGATGTTGGTGGATTATCAGGTGAGTACAGGGCAAATGAGTATGAGGGCGCTATGTCAATTGGCTTCGTATAACTATATTATGGCAGTATCCTTGGGGACGGAGCTACGTCACAAGACGTTCGACGTTGCTAAGACTCGCACCACTGTACTACGTATTTCTCTGCGCACACTGCTGAGGAACGCGGCACGCCAATCGAAGAGCATTGTTTAGGGGAGTCTCAACAACCATCCCAAAGTACTGTTTTCTGAGAGTTTTCGGCCTTTATTTTCACAGTGTTTGCTTTGTATATCTATGAGGGCGCTATACCAACATGTCACTATTTGCTTCGTATATCTATGAGAGCACTATATCAACATGTTACTATTTGCTTTGTATAACTACGAGGGCGCTATATCAACATGTTACTATTTGCTTTGTATATCTATGAGGGCGCTATATCAACATGTTACTATTTGCTTTGTATATCTATGAGGGCGCTATCCTTGGGAGTGGAGCTATGTCACAGGACGTTCCAGGTTGCTGCGACACGCACCACTGTACATGCATTTCTATGGGCTCTGTGCGCGCTGCTGTGGAACGCCGGTCGAGCCGGTGAAAATTCGAGAAAACAACACAAACTCAACTTTGAAGTAATCCCGAACAACCAAATTTATATATGTTACACACGTAGGGCTAATCTTGTTACACTGTTCAGAGGAGTCTCAACAGTCATCCCAAAGTATCATTTTCTGCGAGTTTTGGGCCTTTGTTTTCACCGCCGCGGGTTGCCAGGCGGTGAAAAGCCCGGATGTCCGTGCCAGAGGATATCAACATGTTTCTATTTGTTTTGTATAACTATGAGGGCGCTATATCAACATGTTACTATTTGCTTTGTATATCTATGAGGGCGCTATATCAACATGTTACTATTTGTTTTGTATAACTATGAGGGCGCTATATTAACATGTTACTATTTGCTTAGTATAACTATGAGGGCGCTATTTTTTCACTTGACAAGCACATCTTTAAATGCTGTGAAATATTTGTTTTCTCAGATCCATATGTCAAGCTGTCTTTGTACATGGGTGGGAAGCGTCTAAAGAAGAAGAAAACCAGTATCAAGAAGAGAACGCTGAATCCATATTACAATGAATCATTTGTATTTGAAGTACCATTTGAGCAGATACAGGTAAGATATCTACTATAAAATCATTTATTTTCATTAACATTTAATTTTGATGTTTTGAGCATATTCACTGTTTTTTAATTTAACGAATTTGTCAAGGAAACAATGAGTTTTATTGTTATTTTACATGCTCACATAGATTTAATTTAGCAGATTTTACTTGTCAGCGAAAATAGCGAAATTAAAACCCAGTGAATAATTAATGCATTTAAAGTATATCATTATTAAG